TTACGATTTCACGGCTAAACCACTTAACCGATTTTAAACTACTACTTTTAAAGGCTACTTTTTACCGCGATAGTTGACATGCAAATGACATGAAATGTAAATTATAGTTACTTTTACAAAATAAGTAATTTAAATGACCAATTTACTAAATTTACACAAAAATATTGCATTGCCGTTCAAAAATTTGACGTAATTTCGTCCTAAAAGCGTATCAGGTCATCAATTGTCGTAACTAAAAAGCCTTGTGACTCATATTTGACATTTTGATGAATATTTTGCATAACATAATTACTAAATCAAGATATTTTTGCGCTAGTTAAATCAGGTAATCATAATTGTTTGAGCTAAGGACACAAAACAAGTTTTCTTATGTTTGGAACTGATTTTATTCTATAAGAATAATAATTATAACCTCACACATGGCCTCAGACTAGACAGAGCCTGTACTATGGTAACCAGATTACTAAATAACGTACTTATATATTACAATACACATATTATGATACACACATGTTGACTGCACGGATGGCGTAGTGGTTTAAGCGCTGAGTGTTGTGGGTCCGATCCCCACATGGCACAACACTTTGTGTGATTCACAAATTGTTGTTCGAAATCTGGGTGTTCTTTGTGTCCGTTTCATGCAGGATATATGCAGGTATATTTAGGATATATTCATGTAGGATATATGTAGGATATATTCCTAGTGCGGGAGTTGTCTTTTAAAAAGACTAAAAAAAGACATACATACATATACACAGACACAAACATATATACATTACACCCAAACACAGAACAAATGCTCGTTCGAACTATTTGTTCTGGGTGGAAATCGAACCCACAACCTCTATTTTAGCAGACAGGATCGCTAACCACTAGCATGTCAAATGGTCGCCTGCTAACCGGATACAGACGCCAGCCTACAAAATTTCCTCTCAATACTGGATAATCCAGTTTTGGAATGCTTATTTATAAGTACTTCCGAAGTTATCGTTATATGAATAACCTTGAGTTACTTAGCTGTGTAAATTATTGAGTTTCTTGTACATAATTCGTGGGAAAAGAACTTAGAAGCCACTACTGCGTTGCCGCCCTATTCCCTAGTTTTTTTCGGGAGCAAAATACGCCGCACAACAGCACTGCAGAGAGAAGGAAAACTTGACACAATCCCTATACCAACCCGTCTGGCCAGCGTGGTGTAGTAGACCAAAACCTCCTTTCTAAGGAGAGGCCTATGTCCAGCAGTGGACTAGTAAATTAATTAGTAAAAGTATTGATGATGATGATGATGAATAACGTGTAAGACGTTGCAAACGTACACTAAAACACATAAAAAAAGAATAAAATAAAGGATACAAGTTCTAAAAAAATATTAAGCGAAATTTAGGCATTTTTTTCAATAATCCTGAAAGTCCAATATCTTCAAAATGGTTAGGTTTGGGATATGGTATTTCATAACGAAATCTATAAGAAATTATGGTAACTACAACCTTATACAGTATTTAGGTCGACTTACCCAGTAACCCTGAATATTCCTAGTCCGAGAGTTGCCTTTATAAAAATAAAATTAGCGTTTTAATACCTCTGTCGACCCCTTTAAATAAATAGACGTGAGTGTATATCCGTGTGGTGACGGATTAAGAATACGAAATGTCACCACCCCTATTTATCCCGTGGGTGTCGTAAGAGCCGACTAAGGGAACAAACTACGCAGGACAACAACACTGCAAAGAGAAGATAAACGTGACACAAATCCTATACCAACCAAAAACCCTTAACCTCCTTTCTAAGGGGAAGCCTCTTATGCCGCAACACGAAACGGTTCAGCAGTGCAGAGAGAAGCAAAACTTGAAACAAACCCTATACCAACCCGTCTGGCCAGCGTGGTATAGTAGGCCAAAACCTCCTTTCTAAGGAGAGGCCTATGTCCAGCAGTGGACTATTATAGGTTGTTGATATGATGATGTGATGTATATCCTCTAAAAAATCAATCGGTAACAAACGGTTTTTTTTACACACTTTCTCTCATATAACAATAAATTGAAACACAATAACATTGAGTAACAGTTTATTTAATCATATATTTACAATCGGCGCACGTAGTTCTTGGTTTGGAGAGTTCGTTGCGCACGCGCAATCAATTGAACTGCTTTGAATACATATTTTATTGTTATATAATTATTTCATTGCATACTTAAACATTTAAATGACCTACTGCATATTTTATGTGTAACATCTGACATCGTGAAAAGGGCGGTAGTGTTTTAAAGAAAACGGTGGAAGCGCGCGCTTTTGATCTTGCCGATGAGCGCGCGGTGCTTTTTTTTTTGGTTTTTATTAAAAAAGACAACGCCCGCACTATGAATATATCCTGTGTCGCGGAGGACTTTACAAACATACATGAAACGGACACAAAGAACACCCCTTAGAACAAAAATTTGTGGATTACGTACCCACAACTTACCAACCTTTAAAGCTTAAACCACTACGATATCTGTGCAGTCCGTCAGATGTTACAGACACACCATAGGCCACTATTATGAGGCTCGCTCGTTTTTATTATTGGTAACATTTTATTAGCAGTTGAAGTTTACATACAACCGAAATTAGTGGTAGTAAATATATTTATAAATTGTCTCTATTCCTTGTAATTTGCAACGTTTCTCGTAAAGAAGATTTCATTCTAGTGTTTATAGAACCATTTTAATTAACACGGAAAAATCTTAAACTTATTTTTCTAATTGCAACACGCCCTATTATTAGTACGACTACGTCACGAAAATAACAGTTCTTGGAACGAGAGCTGACCTTTTTTCAGATTTATATAAAACACTATATTTCGTTGTACATTATTTCCTTATTTACATTGCTTAGAACCCTTTAATTAAACAAAAATACAATAAAAGTAAAAAAATACTGTAATATTTATTTTTATACTTCGGTTATTCTTTATTGTAAAAATATAATTATGGCTAGCAACAAATACATATACAAATACAAATACAAACACAAATACAAATACACTATAAATACATGTATTTTATAAAATGTATTTTACATTATTGTATTTATGAGCTTATGAAGTCTGAAATAGATGATCTGCTATTAATATTAATCTGATTTGAAATATTGTCGTATTTAGGTAAGTTTTTCAAAATTCTGTCAAACCGAACTTAGTTTTTAAATCCGTAATATTTTATTATGTACAGTACAGTCATTATTTATTTATTATTTTATACATCACGCACAATTGATGCATTGGCGGACTTAATGCCTAAGGCATTCCCTACCAGCCAACCTTTGGGTGATGCAGAGAGAACAGGAAGTAGGTGCATTTTGGTGAAAGTTTGTTAGTAGTTATAATATCAAATACGCGTACATAAACCTATCATACACTAGAACCCATACACATTATACATACATATTATTCAGTTGAGAGAAAACACAGTAGAGTATCGCTATTCTCTAAACCCAGGGACAACTGTATGTCAAAGGGCCAGGTTATACTTAATTGTCGAATTAATATTTGTATATTGTGGAACGCCAAAGTTTAGAAAATAGTACAGTGATGTCTATGTTTATTTTAGAGGCACCATGGCTCTGATGTGACCTAAATAAAATATACACACATATATGTATAATATATTTTCAAGTTCTGTTATTTTTTTATTTTATTACATTTAAATTATAATGTATTTACTTTTATATACGTGTATTAATTTATAGATACATAAATATACATTTTATATATACATAAGTTAATTTATTAAATGTATAAATATACATGTATAGTATAATAATATACACATAAATATTAAAAGTAAATAAAATAATAAAATATAATATTAAAAGTAAGTAGTAATGTAATAGAAATATAAATATAATAAAAATATTGTTTTATTTGTGTGTCAGATGTCCGAAATATTAATATTATTAAATTTTATATTAAAAATATATACAAGTAAATATTAAAACTTTACTATTTCAAAAGTATTGTTAAGAGTCTAAGAAAGAGTTTTTTAATAAATAATATAATTTAATAAACATTGTTAGTTATATATGTAAAGCCGTCCTATGTATTTATTGTACAACACACGCCTCGAATATATTGACTAGGTAATATTATACAAAATCGTAAAAAAGTGATCACTTTGGGGTATATATTTATAATATGTATATTTTGTACAAAATAATGTTTTCATAAGTGCTGACTTAGACGAACCATGTGATATGTTCGTGTATGCTCTTCTGATTCATCTATGAAAAAAAAAAACACTCTATTCTAAATTTTTTGCTATAAAGTTTTAATATGAGACGATTATTATAAATGTAAAGTTGTATAATATCTAAATAAATCAGAAACTTTTAGAACAGATTAAATATTTATTAATTTACCGTCCTTCTATACAAATAAATAAATAAAATTGGAGTGTCTGTTTGTAATATTAAAAAAAACGCTTTTTAATAAATGCATATGTATGTTTACACGGTACATATGCCAAAATAAAAATTTTTAAAATTTTTGTCTGTCTGTCTGTCTGTTTGTTCCGGGTAATCTCTGGAACGGCTGGACCGATTTCGACGGGACTTTTACAGGCAGATAGCTGATGACATAAGGAGTAACTTAGACTACTTTTTTAAGACTAGCTTCGCCCCGCGGCGTTGCCCGCGGTTATAACAACAAACGCAGGTAACACCGCGGGTCTCAGCTAGTTTGTATATAAAGATAAAAAATGTTAAACGAGATATAATATATAATAAATAAAAATTACAATGTACCTACACAATACAACTAGTCAAAATTATATATGTTTTAATATGTTGTTCAGTAGTAATTAAACAAACATTTAATATATATTTTTTAAATTGATTTCGTCTCTTTGTTTTATATTATTGTTTGAATTTGTATATATTGTCTTTAAACTATAACTCGTCTAACTCAGCACTTACTTTTAAACTAACACCCTCAAATTAAATAACAACATCCCTTATTATATTGTCCCTTAACCAGTAAAATTGATGGTGTAAGATCCAGTGCTAGGGTCGAAGTTCTGGGCAGGGTGGCCGAAGAAGGGGTTGTATGCCTGGTTTTGTTGCTGATAACTTGGCTGCGGCTGGTAAGCTGGTTGGGACTGGTAAGCTGGTTGAGACTGGTAAGCTGGTTGGGGCTGGTAAGCTGGTTGTGGCTGATAGGCTTGTTGGGACTGGTAAGCTGGTTGGGGCTGATAAGCTTGTTGGGGCTGGTAAGCTGGTTGGGGTTGGTAAGCTTGCTGAGATTGGTAATTCTGGTTCTGGTAGGGCTGAGCAGTGTATCCTTGGTAGGAAAACTCGGGCTGCTGGTGGTAAACCTGACTTTGAGGACGTATTTCTTGGTTTTGTGAGTCGAATTGTTGAGCAGATTGGTCTAAGAAGTTGGATTTTTGCGTGTACAAAGGAGCCGACCTGTACTGGCTGGGGGCCGGTTGTTGTTTGTATTGAGGAGCAGGTTCCGGAACAGGCTGGGCTGACTTGTGGTATTGCTGAACTGCAGCTGGATGCTGTTGATTACGCCTGTGATATTTGGGGTCTTCGTAAATGCTAGGGTCTTCTCGGTACTGGCCGTCGTCTTCTTCGCCTTCGGGGAGAGCATTTTTAGTTGGGTTATTCAATGTTGGAGGGGGTACTTGGATTCCGAGACCTGGAAATGCGAGATTTAATTTCAAAATGACTGATATTACAATTTATAACACAACTAAAAGTACAATTGCTCTAAATAAAATTAAGAAGTCAAAGACCTATTTCTATTCCATGGATTCAGTGTGCAGCTGCCGGGTACATGGCGTGATACATGGGGCAACACATGCGACTTCGACAGCGCCCAGGGCGCCTGGATATTACGACCCAGGAGTAGGTTTAGAGAGTACTGCTTGCAACGCGTCAGCGCTCACCTCCACTGTCTGCTGTGTTACCCCCTCTACCTAACCATATTTCATACGAGCCTAGCAATGCCGTTTTGAATATTCTTTCAAGAGCTTACTGAAACTCTTGGTAATCAAAGATCTTTAAGCAGGTATACCTCTCACACCTGAACTCGGTGTACAATGGCGTACACGGCATACAACGCAACGAAATAATAATTTTTAGTAATATTTAGATATAAACATAGAAAAATTATTTTTCATAGACAACTAGTTGTTCCCCGCTGTTTTAACAACGTTTATAGTCACTACTTTGCACCTAAAGATCGTAGCATGGTGTTTTTTTTGACGGGGTGGAAAATCCCTTCGGATCTCCTGCTCCTCGGGGACTCAGGAGCCAGGAGTATGTGGTGATAACACTAAAAACCACCCTGACGCCCGGCCATGTTATTTCAGGTCCTCCCCGAGCATGGTGTTACAGCCTAAATGGGAAAGCAATGGTAGAGATATGGGGGATATGGCTGATACGGTTGGACTTGAGAGAGCAAACTCGAGTCGGCCATTGGTCATTTTTTTATATATTTAAAAACTAAGCTAAAAATTGTATTTAAGGTGTCGCATTCGACTCTAATAGGACCAAATGGCTTCAACCTTCACGCACTGATAACTTATCTAACTTGTTAAGTTAAAGTTACTTAATGCTAACTAAATAGTGAATTGTATATTTTAACGAGTGAAAAATTAAACATTTTGTAACTTTAAATTATACTTTACACTGTATGCGAGTTGCCTCACGTGTTTATTTCTTGGATACTCTTCGAATTTCTCACCTAGACTGGGGCTTTTTGTTAAGGAGTGAAACTTCGATATCTACAGAAATCAGACGACATTAGGACTACTCCAAACTAGGCAGAGCCTATACTCTGGTAATCTGACTGCTTGGGTCCGAATGTCTTAATATCATCTTTTCCCGGACCCCTCCTATCTCAGGCGCTGTGTGGCATACCGTGTGGTTTTAGTCGGTTCGATTCCTACACACCGACCTGCCGCAAACCCCGGTGTGAAAGGGCGCGAGGGAGTTTCCACACGTTAAAAAAATGGTAACCTGACTACTATATATAGGTATATGTATGTGTGTAACTTAACAAGTATATATGTATGTGTATTTCAGTATGAATGTATGTAAGTATATCTGTCGCACTGTTTCTGTCCATCTTCTCAATTACTGTTATTATCTTTTAAAACATAATAACTTTAATACTAGTGCACCAACTCTGACATTATCCCAAAAACGAAAGGCTGACTGGGAGAAAACGCCGGTGGCATTAAGTCCGCCATTGTACAATCAAGTTGTAATTTGTGCATGAATAATTAAAATAAAATAAAAGATATATACATAATATAGATAAATAAGACCCAGACACAGAATAAAATATTGTGCTCATCACACAATATTTGACAATAGAAGCAGAAAAAAAGACGGGAAGAGGATCTGCCCGAGGGTTGGAAAAGGGCAGCAATGGACAGGCAAATGTGGAGGGAACTTGAGGAGGCCTATGTCGCAAGACAGCAAGACCTTGTCACTGATATTAAATGTTAAGTATTACGTATACATACAGAAAAATAGAAATAAGTATAGTTAGTATTGTTCTGTTTTATATTATTTATTTTATTACAAATTGTGCAAGGTCAGAGTAAATAAAGCCTATGTTTTTTTTTTCATTTATTTCATTAATAAAATATTATTATTCAATTTTTGACGACCGGGTGGCGTAGTGGTTTGTGAAACGGACTGCTATTCCAAAGGTCGCGAGTTCGATTCCCGCTCAAGTTAAACATTTGTGTGCATGAACATTCGAAGTTTGATTTGGTATGGGTGTTTCTATGTATAATATGTATGTATTTACAAAAAAAAAGTATTTATGTATTTATATCAGTTGTCTAGTACCCATAGTACAAGCCTGCGTAGTTTGGGACTAGATGGCGTTGTGTGTATGTGGTAGAATATTATTTTCAGCATTGTAAATATCTAACAACAGTTGCAAAAAATTAAAACTCTAGGACCACAGTGAACTCGAAACAATGGCAGTACTCAGCATTTCCAGTATACCTAATTAAACCAAACCTGCCCAGTTTTGATGAAGAAACAGAAAAAGTGGGTCGATAACAACACCACTCTCTCTATTCGCTCTGCAGTTGGGAAACTAATACATCATGTAATGTGGTGATAATATAGTGTAATATTTTTAAGTGGTACAATATTCCACGATATTGTACCACTTACTACAGCAAAAACAACCCCATATAGTGTAATATCGACGTGAACCGCTACTCCTAACATAAGCATTCAATTTATTGTAAAAAGGAATTTTTACCATGTTTATTTTCGGGAATTCGTTTCCGGGAATTTAGAAAGCATTCAACTTAGCTGGAGAAGCTTTGAGAAAAATTAATTACTTTAAGAAAAAAGTGTGTGTGTCAGCTCCGACGCACGCCTGGAGTACTTCTTAAGAACGATTCGGCTGCACACAAGTATATAAGCTATACACACTAATCTCAAAAATGCGCACGATAGGTTGCGCACAAAAAAAGTTACGAGGTCATTCGAACATTAAATTTTACTCTTCATATTTTTTTCATACCGGCCGCCTTATATGAAAATCGATTCTTAAGGAGTAAACTCCAAAATGTATACGCCATTGCTTAATCACCGATAGTATTTATCCGTATTATTGACGAAATTTTAGATATAAAAAGGCTTTACTAGTATTGAGCAAACTCTCTGTCTAAATTACTTAAAGAACTCCTCGAGCTGAACGTATTCACAAATTCTGGATAGATAGAAGAATAGGAAACTGAACATACCTTGGGGTTCAAATCCTCTCTTACTGCTAGCTCCATACGAAATCTCCCTGGTTTTACCAGTCTCATCTATATATCCGTACTTCCAGCCACATCACCGTTAGGGTATTTGGTCTCGATCTTGAAGGAACCGTCGGCTGCCTCATAACCGAAGCTGTATGAACCATCGTCGTTTTGTCGGTTGATCTGCTTAAGGATGGGCACCGGGGTTGTGTTTGGCGCCTGGTGCTGGCAGTTGACTGCCATATAGGCTGCGCAGAAGATGAGTGTCTGGAATTCAAAGTGACTAGGTAAAATAAAAATGTATCTATCACCATTGCGCAGTATCACTATTAAGGGACGGAAGAGCAATTTGGTCATGATGTATTCTGTTTCTGATATTCATCATGAGAAATCACCTCTATTACATCTTCTTAAATCTTACTGAAACATAATTTCCTTCTGCACTTTTCTTACAGATAAATAATAATTCTAGACTTTACACATCTCACACGGCAGTCTGGTCCCAAACTAGGCAGAGCTCTTGCCGTGGGAGAGCAATGCTTCGGCACGAATGGGCCGGCTCAACCAGAGTTATACCACGGCCTAACAGGAAACCGGTGTTAAGCAATTCTTTCGTTGCCTTTCACTGAGTGAGTGAGGTTACCGAAGCCCAAATCCCTATTCCCGCTGACTCAAGCGGGCGGCAACGCACTTGTCACTTTTGAGTGGCAGGTGTGCATGGGCGGCGGTAGTTGCTTACCATCAGGTGACCCGTATGCTCGTTTGTCCCCTCATACCAAAAAATAAAGCCTGTATTACGAGTATGGTAACCAATCTGCTAATAAACATATTTAAATATTTCTAAATACAAACATATCATAGATAAATTACACCCAGACACATAACTGATCGTGCTGATTACACAATGTTTGTCCTGGGTGGGAATCGAACCAACGGCTAAGCAGTCAGGGTCACTAACCACTAGACCAACAAACCCGTCTTAATGTCTTCATATTTTATTTTTTTAGGTATAGTAGGTCAAAACCTTCTTTCTAAGGATAGGCCTATGTTCAGCAATGGACTATTAAAGGCAGTTGATGATGATGATGATGATATGTTTTCATAGTTTAGTTTGATTTTTTGTAGTAAGCAATGCGTTTTCACCTAAGAAACACTCACTGTAACGAGCTCTTAAATTCTATGAGTTGAAGGCAAGCTAAATGAACATGCTGTGTGATAACCAAATAAATAAATAAACATTCAACTTAAACTGCAACACGAGTCATCAAACAAATCGGGTAAAACATTAATAAAAAAAACGTTTTTAAGTAAAAAGAGAGAAAATCCCTACGCTCAGCAGAGGTAGCCATAAAACAAGCTTCAATTGACAGTTAGGTAAGTTTACTTTTTTTAAATCATGAACAGCCATTAACAGTCCACTGCTGGACATAGGCCTCTCCTTAGAAAGGAGGTTTTGGCCTACAATACCACGCTGGCCAGACCGGTTGGTGTAGGCCGAAGGTTTTGTTTCAAGTTTTCCTTCTCTTTGCAGTGCTGTTGTCCTGACAGTTTGCTCCCTTAGTCATCTCTTACGACACCCAAGGGATGAACAGGGGTGGTGACTTGCCGTGTTCTTAATCCGTCACCACACGGACAATTTTTTTTTAAAAGAGCTTTCATATTCGTCACAGAAACCTAAAAAAGTGTAACAAACCAGCTAATTTAGACATCACCGTGTGGAACGTAGCGTAACTAAATAATTTATTACGCAACAACACAAAAACAGTACACTTAACATTAAGAATTTCTCATTTGGTTAAAAGTATACTACGGCCTTGATCTTGCAATGGTGTAATCTGTGCTCTGGTTTTGTTTACGTTTTAAGTGAAAATGAGAGCGTTTTGTTATGTTAGCTTTTGCGCAAGGCATTTAGGTAGTAGCTAGGTTCAAGCGGTCACCGCTTTCTACTACGCTCAGTGCTGGGGGTTCGATCCACACATTTGAAAACACTTTGTGTTTCACAGATTGTTGTTTTGAGTCTAGGTGTTCTTTGTGTCCGTTTCATGTATGTTTTAAATGAAATTATGTCGGATTCGCACCGAAAAATACCGCACGCCGTCTCTGGTACCAGTAGACGGAGAAACAGGTATACCATAGAAAGGAAATTCCTGGTACCCCGACGTACCTCAGGCCATCCACGGCGTGTAGATGACCCCCTCCTGTGTATGAATCCCATATTCCGTTTGTGCTCATGACACAGGATACATTCCTACTGCGGGAGTTGTCTTTTAAAATATATGTATGAAAAACGAGATATTAGTACTCATTATGTTCCTGCTTTATTTGAGATAGAAAAATTAAGCGTTAGTAATTTAATCAATTACAACAGACCTGCTATAAAATAAATAAGGGGCCAAACAACCGCCATATTGCATTGAAAACGGAAGTGTCACACAATGTCAATTTGAATTATGTTTATGAATTGTAACGATACCTTACAGATAAGTCTTGATCTGTTTAGACTGTTTAAGGTCCCCGTGGAATACAGTAAGACTTTTCCTTCTGCATTAAAGCATACGATAAGATATCCAAAACTGTCGGGAAGGCGATTTCTAGCATTCACAAACATTTAGATACGAAATTTAACCAAACAACTCTACTTCTCTTGATATTTCTTAGAAGCAACTATTCTCTCAAAGTCAATTCGCACCCATAAAGGTGAGTAATTCATCGTCAACTTTTTTTCTATAAAATTCCTCTGCGTGACAATGATACAAGAAACTCAACGCCGAGTGAATGTTCCGACTTAGCCTTGTGGCGTATTGTGGTCACATGCGGACATGTTGTACTCTAAGTAGGTGTATGTTTGTTAGTTTAATTACTTATCATAATTGATTTCGTTTGTCATATCTCGTTTTTTTTCTCGAAATTACAATAAACTACAACATGCTGTACTGTGTGGATGGCGTTTCGGTTTAAGCGGTCACCTCGCCGCTTCCCAGTATACTGAGTGTTGTGGGTTCGATCTCTACATGGGACAACACTTTGTGTGAGTGTTCTTTGTGTCTGTTTCATGGTATTGTTAAGTCCCCCGCCACACAGGATATGTATTTTAAAAAGAAACACATTAACATAATAATAATAGAAGTAAAGTAAATTTATACCGTGGGAGAATCATGATTCGGTACATATCAGTCGCCTCAACCGGGGTGAGGAAATCAGCGTTCAGTAATTAAATCAAATCAAATGTATTTTTACAGAAAACTCTGTTACCATGGTGTTATGAAATTCAGTAATTCTTTCGGTGTTTGACGTTGAGTGAGTGAGGTCAGCGGAGCCCAAACCCATCGCTCCCCCCTCCACCCGAGTTTGGAGAGCGGTAACGCACTTGTAACTCTTGAGCTTAAGTTGTCTATTATAGATAGGACAAAATCACAGTAAACTGAGAATGAACGGTGATTTATAATAATAGATAATTTGATAATTAAAAAAAATCTAGATTTACTGTTGAATAGCGTCTAACCTACCTACCTAGCGGCCCTACCCCCAAAGCCTAGGTACGCAAAAATCGAATGATAATGATTTGTCCCATGTCTAGTGTCTTTAGGCGGTGGTAGTGACTTGCCATCCGGTGACCCGTCTGCTCGTTTAGCCGCCTCCCTCTGTACCATAAAAATAAAAGAAATATCCCTTAATAACCATATTTTTCGTTACTCAACCTTATTTTTCATTCCTCATTGAACTTTTAGCTGTGTATTACGTAAATGAAACTAAAATTTTTTAATACAAAATTAGTCAAAATAACTCTAATAATTGAGATATTGAAAAGGTAGGTAAGAAATTGGTAAGGTACCCGTAAGAAATTGCTTTTTAGCGATAAGGCCGCCATTTTTTTAATAATATTTCGGACATCTAACGCACAACGCTATTTAGTTTCAAACTCAGCAGAGCTTGTACGATGAAAGTTAGATTGACTGATACAATACTTAAATTCTTTTTTTTGTAAATATGTACATACATGTTATACATAGAAAACACCCAAACTCCGAAATAAATAATTGCAGATTATACAAACATTTGACACAGCAGTCGAATACGTTACCACTGCGCCACCGAGGCAGTCTGCCCCTGGTCTTCAACTTGAAATACTATTGTATGTGTTGTATTATGTTGGTGTACAATAAAGTTTATTCTAGTATACATATAGACATACAAAAAAGTCCAATTACGCAGTCTCGGCTTTTTTGTAATATGTTTGAATGACATTGAACTGGCCTACATCAATTAAGTATGTATATACCTATGTATAAAATACCTTTGCAGACCTTAAACGTACCTATATATCACAGATAGGGAAAACGGATAGTAATAAATACCATTAATTTACTTAATGTTTATATGGAGTAGAAGTATAGGAAGATTACTTCACTACTTCATTTTGTATTGGCGGCCGGATGGCGTAGTGGTTTGTGTGACGGACTGCTATTCCAAAGGTCTCGGGTTCGATTCCCGCTCAATTATAACAGTTGTGTGCATGAACATTTAATGTTTGATTTGGTCTGGGTGTCTCTATGTAAAAAAGTATATATGTATTTATATCAGTTGTTTCGTAGCCATAGTACAAGCTCTGCTTAGTGTGGGACTAGATGCGTTGTGTGACTGTGGTAGAATTTTATTATTATTATCTATAAATGTATGTAAAATCAAGTAATTGCCCTGAGCGACTGACTGACCGACTCATTAACACAGAGCCTAAACCGCTGGAGTTTCAAACTTGACATTTTGCCCGCTGATGCTTTTTATTTTGTAAGCACCCACTAAGAAAGGATTTTTGAAAATTATATATCTAAGAGCTGAAATTAGAAACGAACGGTTGGATTGAAATTCGCCATTTTCAAAGTTAGAAATCAAGCAATCGAAGCCGCTGGCAGGAGCTAGTTTTAGATAATTATGTGTTATTAATAAAAACATCTACATCAAACAAAAACATTTTGATCTATTCTAAGGTTGCCTCGATAGTATAAATACTATAATAGGTTTTTAAGTTTTGTTCGTTTTAGAATATATTTTTTTAGATGGGGACGGGTAACCTGATGGATAGTGACCATCGCCGCCCATAAACGCCTGCAACTCAGGAGTCACAAACGCGTTGCCAGCCTTTTAGGAAGGAGTACGCTCTTTTCTTGGTACGTGTGGTGACGTATTAAGAATACAGAGTGTCACCACCCCTATTCATCCCGTGGGTGTCGTAAGAGGCGACTAAGGGAGCAAACTACGCAGGACAACAG